TATTTGTATAAACACATAAATAAACCTATATTTAAAAATATTAATATTAACTTATTTCATCATTAAATTGAATCTACATTAAATTTTTTAATTTTTAGTTTTTAATCTTAAGAGTAATAGATTGTAAAACGCTAAATTTATCAAGTAATTTAATCTTTTTTTAATATATTACTTTCAATATATTATATAATAAATAGAATCTTCAATAATTACATCAAAAAATAATAATAATTAATAAGAATTAATTTAATAACAAAGAAATTGACAAAAAAAAAAAACCAAAACAACAAAAAAATTATAAATTTCAAATACAAAATCATAAATTAACAAATAAAAATCAAATATAAATATTTAATTTTAATTATTTTCTTTTAACTTATACAAAAAATTTATTAAAATTTTTCATGTAAAATTCCTATATATATCATATTGAATTATTAATCTCTAATTTTTTTCAATTAATAAATCCTCAATCCCACTAATTAGATTTTATCTAAAAAAATTTTTAAATACAAAATTTTAAACTTATATTTTAAATAAAATTAATTATAAAATTAAATAAAAAACCTGCCAACCACCCCACCCCACGCACTTGTCCCACTTCAACACCTTCCCCCTTAAAACAAAAAAATTTTCCCCTAAATTTTGGTTACCAAAATCCCTCATCTTCAAACTTCTTCATGACCTTGTCACCTCGAGCGTTTTTCAAGTCAACCAAACTTATTCAAATCTTTTTCTTCTTCCCTTTTTTGATGCATCTCTCACTCTCTCTTGCATACCCTCATCAATGTCACTGCTTACAAAGTATCTCAATCTCGTCTCTGTTAGATTCTCATAAAGATCAACATTATTGTATAAAAATTTTATAAAAAAAAAGTAATTTAACTTTCTCTTAAGTAACTTAATCTTTTGATACATTAATTGATGTAAAAAAAAATTTATCACAAATATATAATAAATAAAATCTTCAATAATTACAAAAAATTAATAAAAATTAATTAATAGCAAAAAAATTGACAATAATATAAATTCCAAAACAACAAAAAAATTATTAAATTTCAAAACAAAATCATAAATTAATAAATAACAAAATTAAAATATAATATTTAATTTTAATTATTTTCATCTAACTTATACAAAAAATTTATTAAAAATTTTCATCTAAAATCCCTATATATATCATATTAAATTATTAATCTCTTAATTTTGTTAATTATAAATCCCCAATCCTTCAAATTAGATTTTATCTAAAAAAATTTTTAAAATTAAAAATTTTAACTTATATTTTAATAAAATTAATTACAAAATTAAAAAAAAAAAAACCCCACCCTTTGCACCTGTCGCACACCAACAGCCTTTTCCCACTTAAATTTCCCTAAATTTTGGTTACCAAAATCCTTCATCTTCAAACTTCTTCATGGCCTCATTGCCTCAAGCCTCATCCAACCTTATTTAGGTCTTCTTTTTCTTCCCTTTTTTTTCTGCATCTATCACTTTCTTTCGCTTACCCTCGTCAATATCATACCTACAAAGTACCTCAACCTCATCTCTCTCAGATTATCACAAAATCAATATTATTCTACATAAATTTTACAAGAAAGAAAGGTAATTTTACAAGAAAGAAACGTAATTTAACTTTCTTTTACCTGTTTTGATCTTAAATGTTGATTGAGGACTTGAAGCAGATATGAATTTGGGTAATTTGCGCATTGAGTTAGGATTACTATTGATTGAATGGTTGATAAATGATTTGATAATATTTTCTAACTTTTTTAGATTGATTTTGAAACTAAAAGTCTAAGACTAAGTTATTTTTTTGCTTTTGTTTTTGCTTTTGCTTTCGCAGTCTTAATTGCTTTATTTTGATTCTTTGGATTCTTGGCAGATTATGTTGAAATTTTTTTTTTTTTAATTTGAACTGATGATGGGGAAAATGAGGATAGCAATAATAATAAACTGTTATTGTCGTTATTCCCCACTATATTATATTTTAGCTATTGCTACATACCGTTTTTAAGTGTAATTAAAATTTTCAACCACATTTTTCCCAATAATGATGGCAAGTGGCAGTGCAACTGTGATTTCGCGACTTTTATTCCACTATAAAACCTCTATTTGAAACTATGGTGACAAGGAGTACGGAATCGGGATATAGAGTTTAAGTTTGTAAGGTTCATAGAGAAATAAGCATAAAGTTGAAGTTTGAAAGGTCTAAAGAGAAATAAGTATAGTTATTTAGGAACTGAATTAGACATTAAACCATTCAAGATCTCGTATCATTGGGTTAATAGTTTAACAACCTAGTCAATTGAGTTAATTATTGGTTCAATAAAAAATATTATAAAAAAATATAAATATTTTTAAAAAGTCACAATTCAAACTTTTAATTCAAGTTTATAATTTAATAATTCAACCATAAAACTATAAATTTTAAGATAAATCATAACTACAATTTTTAAAATATAAATTCATAAAACAATTAATTATTAGTTAAAAATGAAATTACTTAACATTTTTTTAAAATTATATTTTTATTTTAATAGTTAGAAATAATATTTATATTTTAATAAATATAATAATAATAACTAATAAATAATTATAAATAATAATTAATTTTTATATTTATTAAAATATAAATATTATTTATTAATATATAATAATTAATCTTTATGCTAATAAAAAAGAAATATCTATATATAAAATTAACAAAAAGGAATATTTATATTTATATAAAAATTAGTAAAAAGAAATTAAAATCATTTTGTATTTTTAATATGAATGTATATTTTTTTATTAATTTACATATACACATTTTCTTTTATTTATTATTTTCAATCATGGTCAAATAATTAATCATTTTTATTAACGTTTTATTTTTATTAATTTTGTATATTATTATTTTATAATTATTTTCAATTATTGGTATCAATTAAATTTTTTGTTAGATACTTTTCTTTGAAAATTGCTTATTTTACACATGCGTAAGTTTTTTTATAGTGTCATTATCCACATGTCTCAAAATATGTCAACATATATTTAATATAAATATAAAAAGATTTTGATAGTAGAAAATAAAGTCTTATTTAGATGAAATAATAGTATAAGAGCTTAATTAGATTATTTTTAAATACTTGAAAGAATATTTTCATATTTTACCTAAACTTATTAGTTGATATTGAATCAATTGATTAAAAAAATTGTTCAATTTACTGATTTATTATGGTAAATTGCTTGTTCACAACGATTCAAAATGATTTAATTGTAAAACTGATCTAATTACATTAATCGAACTGGTTTCAATATTGGTTCATCAGTTCAACAATTGGACCAACAATCCAATCCAATTTTTATAACTATGGAAATAAGATATGTATACGGTTGGAGAAAAAAAATTGAAAGTGAGAAAGGGTTAAGCAATAGGAATTATTAGGGTAAAAAGTAAATAAGTATTATTATTTATTATTATTATTGTTGTTGTTGTTATTGTTATCAATTAATAAATGAATATAAACGAAAAAGGTTTTAAAACAAATCTTAAATGAGTTTTTTTATGATATAAACTAACCATACATATCTTTATTTATATTCAGTTCATTTAATAAACAAACATAAAATATTATTTAAAATCATTTGTTAAAATTAAAAAATGAATATAAACAAACAAAAATCAAACATATTTACCAATAATTTATCAAAGCTCTATTTACTTACCCCCGAACTCCCATTACGTACACTCAGGATTACATAAATTTTATTTTAAAATATTAAATTAACTTATAATTTCTATTTTAAATAAAAAATATATTTACCTAATTTATTTGAAAATTTAGTTTTTAATTATTTTTAATAAAAATGTAATAATTAATGAGCAACATATCTATGTTTTTTTTTAAATTATTTATCTACATTTTTTAATAAAATAGATAAATAACATATCTATATTTATCTATGTTTTAATTATTGAAATTAAATTTATTTAATAGACTTTTTTATTTAAATTGTTTAATTATTCCAAAAAAATATTGTGTTTTATTTCTTAAATAAATATTTTTATTATTTAATTATTCAATTGTTTTTTAATCTTACTCTTCTTACAAATTTATAATTTGATAAATTTAATTTATACACAAAATAAATAAATTAAAAAAATTAAAAAAATGGATTAGAAAATATTTAAATTATTATTATTTACCCAAGTTTATGGCATTTTCTATGTGAATTGGGTTTGTTTTCTGATTATTACTTGCAAAAATGAAACTATCGAATTGTGTATTTTCCTTCGTTAAATTTAGGATATTTTATTCTTTTTAATATTTATATTTTAAATTTTTTATTAAGGGTAAAATTATCATTATATAATATGAAAGAAGTAAAACAATCATTGCCTAATATTGACACTTATCAACAATTTTTTTATTATTTACATTTTTAGCTTATGTTTTAATTAAGGTTAAAGTGATCATTATATAACGTGAAAGGGGTTAACACGTCATTACTTAATATTAATCACTTATCAACAATTAAACCCAATTAAACCCCTTCAAGGATAGTTTTAATATATAGGCATAGATGTTTACCTGGATTGGGCAACAACAACATCCCTTATTCCGGGGTTGACTACATAACAACATATTAATATGTTTTATTGTAGTAGAAAGAAATCCCAAAATTTCAAAATAGATATCCAGTTTTCAGAGCCCAGAGCTTTATTGTACTATTGTCTTTTCTTTCACTTTCTGCATTGAAGAAGAGAAGATATCAGAAGAAGTTCAACCCCATAAATGAAGCTAGAGGAAAGTAGGTTTCACTTACGTTGGAGATGTCTATCCATGAATTAAGTGTGTTTAGAGCTTTTCCCGATAATTGTGTCTCACGAGCCAAAGCTACTCCTTCAGCAAGGGACTTCAACACGGCCACTGACTAGAAGAGCTGCTGCTGCAATTAAGAATCTGAAGATTTTGCTATTGTCTTAGAATCATTTCATGATTACAGACTTCTAATTATCCAGAAAGGGAATACAGACATGGAATGCACATGCAAAGAGAGAACAGAAACAAAAGAAGTGGTTTAGGGTGCAATACAAGTGCATCTGCAATGGGCCCTTTTTCCCCTGAGAGTATGTGCTTCAATACATCGGCATTGTACCCCGGTCCACCACCTCGCAGGTCATCTAGCGTACAACGGTGGGAACACCGAATTCCACTGTCCAATAAACATTCTCATTGTCTTAGCACTTTAAAGTATGAATAAACATTCTCATTTTCTAAGCACTTTAAAGTATGAATACAGCAGTGTAAAATCGTTTCTGCCATTCAATACCATGATATCTTACACATCCAACAAGGACTCAACTTCACTTCAATGGTACAACTATTCTCTAGTCTCAAAAAAGGATGAATTACTAACAAGATCTTACACGGATCAAATGAGAACTTCTCAATTTTCTCTGGAGTAACATCAAGGATTCGCCCAGGCCCTGTATAGATATGTTGTGAGATTGTAATGATTTAGACCCACAAACGGGAATTAGAAAGTGAAAAAGTTTGCGAGTAAAGATGACATGATCTGATGATAGTGTCAAGGGAAAAAAGTAATGAAATGAAGCGTACCAAGGGGATCATTTCATCTAAACCCTCTGAGTGCACAACTAAGGCTCGTTTCATGCCAAACCGTTGAAGTGCTTAGCCATTTTGAAAACCTATCTCAAAAAGTTAGAACTCATCTCAGTATTGAATTAAAGGAACAAACTATCAAATTACATAGCAAAGCAAGTGCTTTATTATATATGCAATTCTTTTGTGCAAGTCAGACAGTTAAACAGAAGATTTGCATGTAATAGACCCACGCATCATAGTTTGAGGTGGAATCTAGAAGACTATAGTGCCACTGACATGTGAGTGTGCAACCAACTATGCATGTCTTACTATTTTCTCTTAGTGATATTGGTAATTACCTTTTATTTTCTGTAAAGTTTGTGGACACAATCTTGGTTATAATATCTGCTACACCAGTTAGGGTTGGATTTATATCTACGTGTTCTCAAGGTTCCATTGAGGATCCAAACATAGATACATTTTGGAAGAGTTTAAGCCCTCATTCCCCTTTACCCTTCATCACCATTGGGCAGAAACCCTAAATTCTCCAATGCCCTCTTTCTCCGCTTTCCAAAGCTTTGATTAGTGGTTGAGCAAGAAAGCTCAATTTCTATAAGAGATTGTTTCACGTACATTTTTGCCTCAATGCAGTTTGCATTCACTTCTATTAAACTGTTTATTTTGAAAGAACATATATATGAAAGATAAGTTTCGCTTTTGTAAAACAGAGAATTGATATATTGTACAGCACATCCTTCTTACAGTTAGGCTCAGTGATCTTCAGTCTGAACATAAAGAGATTGATGTTGAAACACAGGGTGTGAGCAACAAAAATCATATATACAGGAGTGCATTTTCAAAATATAATACAAGGAACATTGGGGGCAACCTCAATAATACGCATCTCTTTAATCAAATGTTAATCAAACAAACAAAGAGCAAGACATGGTACTAATTGCAAAATCAAGGTATATTCTTGCAGTTCGCATGATTGAAAACTACATTATTTTAGAACCTAAAATGAACTTACTCTAAGATGCTTTATCATATATCATTTTAGTTGAATATCAACAAATGGCCAGCTTATTATAACATTAACAAAGAACCTTTGACCTAACAAAGGAAAATTGGCAACTAATAGTTTCATTTATAAGGATATGAATTGAGGGTTGCCAAAAGAATGACATTTTAGCTAAGAAGGTTTGACGTCAACCCCGTATGATGTTCAAGCCAGCATAGATGGCAGCTAACAACCTAAAACCTCCAATTTATCCACATAATAACTCCCAATCAGCAATCGAATCACAATTCAGGGATAGGAAAAGGGAAGGAAATGGGTCGGTCATTACTAAAATGAGGTCTGAAAGGAGTGGTAAAGAAAGTCTGTTTTACAGAATCTCAGAAATGGAAATGGACTCATAGTTAAGTCATATGGAACTAGGAATTGACAACTAGGCCCTAAAATGCAAATTTATAGCATCACTGTAAAGGTAGACGATTTGAAATCAGTAGTGCACACAGCCAAGGACAATATCAAAGAAATTATCAGGAATAGTAACTCAAAAGGGAATAAAAAACTGATTATTTTGGTACATTAAAAAATCAAAATTTTAGAAATTTTCCCTTTCTTTCATATCAGATTTTAGGGTGGGGAGGAGAGAGCATGATACATTACTAATGCTACAAGGCGTTGAGAACACTTACTAGATCTTCAGTGTAAACACCAACAACAGCGAAAGGTACTCTTGCAGGGTTCAACATAGGGCCCAATATATTGAACACAGTTTTAATCTTTAGCTTCTTTCTAACAGGGCTCACAATCTTCATTGCCGGGTGGTACTTTGGTGCCATCATGAAACCAATTCCAGCTTCATTCACACAGCTCATTACTCCCTTTAAAACAAAAGGAGAAAAGGAAAAAAAATGGATCAATGCCGGAATAAGATCTATAGAGGGTTATATTTATTATATTTGGTACACATTTTACATTCATTTAATTGAGTGGGCCAGCAAGTGAACCCTTCTATTTTCCACTTACATATAGTTGAAAATACATGTCAAAAAAGCCAAACAAAACATGGATACCATATCAGAATAAGTTCATATATGATATAATCACGACTAAAATGTCATAATGTAAACTATTGAAGCCACACAAAGTTTTGGTAGAAGTAATAGTAAACATCCTTTACGTAAAACCTTCAGTCTGTACTATGGAGACGCAGAATATGAAATGTTTAGGAAATAGGAAGGATGAGTCTTCATAAATTTCAACATCAGGCCACACCAAATATTAACCAATTGGACCCAAAGATTGAAAGCATAACTCTATAACTAAACATTTTCATTTCATAAAGAACAAACAGCATTCAAACTGAATGCCTAGCAGGAGCAACATGTAATTTGGTAGAACCAACATGATGGCTAAATGGGCAATAGCAGGTTGTTCTATTAAAAATTTTGAAAAGGCACAAAAGAGCAGCATGTAATTAGGTATAACCAACATGATGGGATATTGCCAAATTGGGCATTCTATTAGTATTCCATATTAGAACTAACAGGGTTATCCACCTATTAGAACTGGCAGCAGTTACTACTGCAAGTTAAGTGAAGTTTACCACACCCAAAAGATCAAAATTCCTATGAAATTGATGTAGGACAAGTAGGGAGAAGAGACAGAATATAGAAATTTAAGGAGAAAGTTAGAAACAGACAAGAACGATTAGAGAGGACAGAGGAAATTCAGGGAGAAGACAGATTGAATAAATAGAGGGGAAATCTCAATATCTCAACATCTCAATAACTTCAATATTCAGCATCTAAAACCTAATTGAAACTAAATAACATAGGTATTTATAACTAAACCCAAAACCCTAATACACCGCAAATACCAATACTAACACAAAAGCCCTAATATTTGAAACTAACTCAAAATACTATATTATAAATAACCTACGAAAGGATTACAATCATACATGTAGAACATAAAAATAAAGTCATAGATAGTATAATCCCTCAACTATATATTGCATTCTCCAAAAAAATATTTTAAAACTCATTAAGAACTAGAATAGCAAACATTACTTTCAACACTTCCATCTTGTGATGCTGGAATATGAAATAATAGGAAATAGTAAGGATAAGTATTCATAAATTCTCAACAGCAGACCACACTAAATGTAAACACTCAAAGATTGAAATTATAACTCTATAAAAACACATTTCCATTTCATAAAAGAACAAACAGCATTCACACTGAAAGCCAAACAGGAGCAATATGTAATTTGGTAGAACCAACATAATGGGCAAATGGGCTTTGTTTTGCAATTATATTAAAATAGCAAGTTGTTCTATCAAAATTTTGAAAAGGGAAAAAAGAGCAACATGTAATAAGGTATAACCAACATGATGGGATATTGAGCACTCTTATTAGAATTCTACGAGCCCAAGGTACCCACTTGTTGCCGCTGTATACTACATTCGTTTCCATTTTTTTAACATTAGTTAAAATTAAAATGATTTTAAAATATTCAAAACTTAAATATAAGTAATAAAAAAATTATTTCTTTAATAAATTTATCAAATGTTAATTGTAGTATTCATGTTAATATAAACAATCACAATTTTTTTGATTCACATTATTTAACTATTAGTTAATCGTTACTTCATCATTATAACTACTAACTAATAATATAAGAAATTATGTATAAATTTTAATCGGAATAAAAAATATAATTAAAAAAATAACAAACAAATAAAAAATATTAATTAATTAAATACTTTATCTTCAAAAAGCCACCTTTATGATTAGAATTTGGGACTCCTGCTTAGAGATCTTAAATTCAAACCCTAAAATGATATTTATGAGATGAAACAGTGTTACTTCCCATTGTGTAGCCTAATATCACATGTACACATTTACTTGATGATTTATTTTATGATACAATATACTGACTTATAACATGATTTAATATATTTTTATATAAATGCAGCTTGAAATGTGCGAAACTTTTGTTAAGATATAACTTTACTTGAATTTCTTAAGTTGTAGTTCAATTTTACTTGGATAGCAATATTAGAATTAGCAATATCATTCATCTGTTAAGTACTGGCAATTGTTACTGCTGCAGCTAAGTGAATTTTACCACAACAAAAAGATAAAAATTCCTATGAAAACATTTTTCAAACTCAGTAAGAAACTGGAATAGCAGAACATTTAATCTCAATACTTTCCAAAGATTAGCCTGATGAGCATTTACCTCCCCCCCCCCCCCCCCCAAAAAAAAAAAGCTTTAGCAATTCAGGCCAAGATGCCAGATAGATTTTGTTCTTTAGTTGCTAATATGGATAATGAGCTTTACCTAAGCACCTTGCAGGCTGGCTTGGAGAAATACTACTCAGCACCAAAAAGCCTACTGTCATTTACATTAAACTAACGACAAACGAAATGGGGCAAAAAAGTATTACTTCCAATGATCATAATAAAATTACTAGAAGAGCTACTGGGAATGTTTCACACTATTAAAGGCTGTCATGCAACTCAGACCCACATGGAAGACAAAGCCTAGCATCACAATCTCATCAATGCAACTATAAATGACATGGTTCAAAGTGCACCAACCTCTGGGTCCAAATCAATAACTACCCCCAAAGCTTCCAATACATCAGCACTTCCACATGCAGATGAACTGGATCGGTTCCCTTGCTGCGACACAGACAATCAGACAGTCCTTATGGTAATTATAGCAGGACAACCAATTTTGATCCATAGGCCCAAAAAAGATAAAGAAAAAGATAAAATGTTTTAAATTGAGGGATTGTCAGTCACCTTGGCAACTTTTGCACCACAAGCTGCAGCCAATATTGAAGCACCTGTGGAAATATTCACCGTATTTGCCCCATCACCACCCGTTCCAACAATGTCAACCACATCATTTAACCCTTCTAACTTCCAAGCATGCTTTATCATTGCTCTCGCCAAGCCCACAACCTTGAAAAGAAAATATAATAATGTCATCGCCATTCTTCACTCAGATTCTGGCGCATTCAAAAAAAAAAAAAAAAAAAGCACCCATTTGCATAAAAATCACTAATTTTCTTTAAACGTTCAATTAATATGTCAATCAATGACAAAACTTGACAGGAAAAATCTCTGACTTTTTCAATAAGAATAATTAACTTACTTCTTCAAAGGTCTCGCCTTTGGCTCTCAACAAAACAAGAAAAGCACTAATCAGAGCCTCATTAGCTTCAGTTAACAAAAATTCCAGACACGCCTCTGCCTCAGACTCCGTTAAATCCACTCGATTTATCAAAGATTCAATCAACTACAATAAAATGCAAGCCAGATTAGAGAAAAAAATGCTAATATTTGATATTTCTTAAGATCCCAAACAAAATTCAAAACTTTTTTTCTTACCTCATTAAAGGAACCTATTGGTGTGCTTGGGTTTCCGTTTCCACGGACACTGCACAGAGCAGAAATAGAAGCAGAAGCAGAGCCAGAAACAACTTTGGAATTACTCTGATTTGGGAAGCGGTTAATTCTTGCAGTAATATAATCATTGCGAGGATTGAGGCCTTTGGTTAAAGGGCGGCGTAGAGTAAACGCAGACAAAGAAACTGTAGAAGACTGCTGCACAAACAATTTTCTCGCCATTGCTCTATAACCGTTGTTCACACCCGCGCCAGGATTTTAGCACTAACTGAAACAGTCTTAAAAGGGGTTTTATATAGGTTTTAGTTTTGCACCATGTTTTCCTGTTTTGTTTTGGTAACAGGCTGTAAGCTGAGAGGCCAGCTGTATTAAGTTTTGGGAATTTCAGATTTTCCTTGATTTCTTTTTTTTTTTTTGAACGAAAAATATTTAGTGGACGTTTTGACGTAATAGTGCAATAATTAAATTTTAACCACTGTAAATTAAATCTAAATATTAATTTTAATAAAATTTATTTAGTATAAATTTTTTATTAATTTTTTTAATGACAATTATAATATTTTTTTAATAATAATTATAATAATTATTATTATTATTTTTAATCTCATCATTCAGACATATCTTTAATTACTTGATAATTTTAAATATGTGATAAAAAATATATAAAAATAATATAATTAAAATTTTTAATAAAAATATAAAAGTAAATTTAGTACAATAATTTTTATATTTTATATCATCATTAAAAAAAACTTTGCGCAAATTTTAACTCATGTTATATGTGTAAAAATAACGTGCCAGCAGCGTAACTAACTCACCTAGAAAAGTTCTTAATTATTTCGAATAGAAAAAGCAAGGTTTGATTTGATTATCTGAGGAAAAGTTTAATTCTAAATCCATCATTGAACAAAAATGACCACTTGGTCAAAAATATATAAAGAGAATAATAAGGTTTGTGTAAGGATGAGAAAAACATGAGCGGGGTTGATTTTATAGCAGGAATGTCAAGGGTGAAAGAAAATATTTAGAAAATTAAAATTTGATTTAAAATTATAATATTTAGTTTAATTTAGATTGGATTGATTTTTTTTATTTGATTTAAATCAAATTTAAATATTAAATGTATATATTAAATTTTAGATCAAAAAATAAAAATAAAAAAATTTGAATCAAATCGAATTATATATATATTTTATTTTTATATATATTTAAATTTTTATAAAATCAAAATAATAAATTTATATCAAAATTTATTTAAATATATTAAATAATATATAAAAATAAAAATTAATAAATTAAATTAAATCAATAAAATTTAATTCAAATTATGTGAAAATTTAATTCGAATCAAATTTTATAAATTTATAATATTATATAATATCTAAAAAAATTAAATTAAATCTATCCAAATCTAACCGTAATCACCTTGCATCATAATTTTATTTCTAGAATTGGAGAAATTGAGGGTGATTTTGCCAGGAATTTATGTTTAAGTGGTTTTACTCCAATTGGGTTGTGAAAAGTTTTGGTCGACAACTGGACATTGAGCCACATTCATCCACCTTTCCAGTTGAAAGAGCTGTTTTTTATTTGCCTTACTCCAACCAACCACATTAAAATAAATAAATAAATAACCTGAAGCTCGTTTAAAAAAAAAATAAATTTTCAATAGTCATATATATTATATAATTTTAAATACAATAAAATAAGATAATTTAAAAGTTAATAAAAATTATATATAAATTTTATAAAAATTAAAAAATATATATTTTATATTTAATATATTAACATAAAATTAATATAATAATTTTTTATATTTTACATATATTAAACACGACATACATTCGAACAAATATACAAATTTTATATATTAAAGCATCACAAAATCAATTAACTTTTGTCACTTCTACTTAACTTTACGAGCATATTTGTAATTTTGTATAAATGTTATTCTTGGTTAACGGCCATTTTAACAATTGACATAGTTAAATTAAGTTTCATTTATATGAATACTGGGATTGATTGCGATAAAATTAAAAATTAATAATAATTATTATTATAAATATGAATTGACAAAAAAAAATATTTAACTGCAAATGAAATTTATGCTGACTTGATTTTATTAAAATTGACATTTAGTTTCAATTAACGATATTATATAAAGGTGTAATCGATTGAGTTCAAGGTTAATATAGTATTAAGCTTGAGTTCGAGCTCGACTCCAAATTTAAGACTCGAAACTCGACTCGAACTCGATCGAATTTTATTTTTTTAACTCAAGTTTAACTCGAAATAAAAATCGAGTTATTCAAACTCGCTCAATTAATATATTAAAAAAAACTTGATTCTTATATTCAACAAAATTCAATTATTTGTATTCGAATTGAAACTCGAGTTTGAGATATTTTATAAATTAAAATAATTAAAATATAAAAATTCGATTAGACTCTTGAGTTACTCGAACTAAGTATAAGAATACTCAAATTCGGTTCGATTAATAAGTTGAACTATTTGAACTCAAGCTCGACTCGATAATAATCAAATCGAATTTGAATTTTATTCAAATCGAATCCAAATAACTCATAAATACTAAATATTATTTACATCTTTAATACGATGAATTTAATTAAATTCAAACGGGACTAAACCTCATAAATAAATGAAAATTATATTTGCCACAAAAACCTTATTTGATGAAATTTTTTTTATTTTTTTTTATTTTTTAATAAAAATAAATATTAAAATATTAAAAATAAAATAAAATAAAAAGCATCGGTCAAATAAAATCTAAATTTATTTTAATAAATGATTTTTTAATCTTTTGATTCTTTTCTTTTAAATAGTATTTGGTATGAATGATCATCCAAAAAAATTGTCATTTACACACTATGATTAGATTACCGTATTTGGTAAATATTTAATAACCTTGCTTGGCAATAATTTTAGATCATAAAAAGTAATTAAATCACTATCTTGGAAAGTGATATAATTTCTATAAAAAAAATAAAAAAATTTTATCATCAAGATAAAGTGATATATAAAATTAATAATAGTTAATATTACCTATTTAATATGTGAATTAAAAGTTTGATTTCTTTTAAAATTGAAATTATTTTATATTATAGATTTTTATATTTTCATACTAATATTCATTACAATAAGTTCAAAAATAATTTTTGTATTTTTTTTACTTTTTTAATGTTTTATATATAATATAATGTCTTTATTTTTTTATTATGATTTTAATATATTAGTTTTATTTTTTAATTCAAAATTTTTTACTTAATTTATATTATAAAAATTAATTTACTTAATAAACAAGTATATTTATTAATTTAATAATTTAATTATATTTATTATAAAATAAATAAAATATTTTTTATGAATTATTATTTTTAAACAACATTTAAATCATTAATTTATATAACTATTATAATAAAAATGGTGATTTTTGTACTTTTAAATATAATAATATTTGATTTTTAATATTATCAACTATAGTGATATTTAATTCTTATGATTATATAAGTTAATGGTTTAAATGTTGTTTAAAGTTAATAATTCATAAAATATAGTAACATTTTATTTATTTATTTTATAATAAATATAATGAAATTATTAAATTAATAAATATACTTATTTTATAAGTAAATTGATTTTTATAATATAAATTAAGTAAATCAATTTGAATTAAAAAACTAAAACTAATATATTAAAATCATAATAAAAAATAAAAACATTATATTAATAATTATTAATCAAATAAAATAATTTTAAAATACGAATAATAAGATTTTTTTAATATTAAAATTACTTCAGTAATTATATTATTATGGTAATTTTAAAAATAATATCAAACATTATTTTATTATTTATTTCTGCGGGGCAAACAATTAATTTTCCGTGAACCAAATTCCGGTCCTATTATCGATGAGACTTCAAAATCTCATGGTTCCAAATTTAAATATTGAAATAATTTATCATTTAGTAGTTTTTTTCATTTAATATTTTTTTTTCATGTACTATGCTAAAATGCATAATCATTTGGCCTATTTGGTTAGCACCTAAATATGTAGCCTTTTAGGCAGCCAAGCATTAAATTTGGAGGCAAAAGCGTTAATTATTGGATGTTATATAATTTTTTGCAATGGAGCCAATCATCTAATCCATCGAAAGCTTGGGTTCTCGATTTAATCGACCCGAGTGGCTTAACTAGGCAATTCAATTTCATGCCACATTTATTGTGAGACTTTTTATGTTTGATATTAAAAAAATAATAATATGATAAATACGTAACAAAATTTTATGTTTGACTTAAAGACTTTGATTAAAAGATAAAGAATTTGAGATTCAAAATTTATTATTTATAAAATATTTTTAAATAAAAAAAATTTATAAAATAATCCAATTCCGATTTATTGAGGTAAATCCGATCAAAAACGTATTTATTCTGATTGAATTTATTCTTCGCTGGTTCAACTGTCAAATATGTCAAATAGCTCAATTAACTTTCCTAATTAGATAAGCCATTAGTTTTGGATTCGGTGCGATCGATGAATCTGATTCACTTTTGACAATATTAATTTATTGTATAGTTATATAATATATAAATATATAAAAGTTAAAATTTTTAATAAAAATTAAAAAAAAATTTTATTTGAATGGTTTAAAATGTTGACATGTGAATGGTGTTTGACATCTAATAAATACATTTTACTTTATTTAATATATTTTTAATTTAAAAATAATTCAAAATTTTAAATTGATTATGTTTATGTTTTTATTATTAACCTTAAATCACTCTCAATTTAATTAATATTAAAGTATTAAAAATTTTAAAAAAATTTAATTTGACAAATTAAATCAATCAATATAGAATTAATAAATTAATAAATACTACAATTATAATTATAAAATAATTGATTCTCTAATCAATTATTTGATACATTTATATTTGATTATTTATATTTTTATTATTAATATTAAATCACTCTCAATTTAATTGATATTAAAAGTATACAAATTTAAAAATTTTGTAATTTGACAAATTAAATCAATAAATATAGAATTAATAAATTAATAAATACTATAATTACAATTATAAAATAGTTAATTATTTAATCAATTATTTGATATATTTATGTTTGATTAAATATAGTATCCAGTAATTGATGAATTTAATATGTAAATATATAAAGCAAATATAATTCAAAAAATTAAATTGATTATATTTATGTTTTTATTATTGATTTTAAATCACTCTCAATTTAATTTATATTCAAAGTATTAAAATTTTAAAATTTTCTTACTTTGAAAAATTAAATCAATCAATATATAATTAATAAATTAATAAATACTACAATCACAATTATTAAATAATTGATTCTCTAATTAATTATTTGATATATTTATATTTGATTAAATATAGTATCCATTTGAGTAATTGATGTGTTTCATGATGTATTTCATGTGTAAATATATAAAGCAAATATATCAAATTAATTCTTTATAATTAAATTAATGGAATAAAATATTTTGTTAATTTATATTTGATTAATACATTTATATTTCATTAAATAAGATTTCATTTGATAAAATATTAATGCACGTTGATTTCATTTATTTTCATTTGTAACATTTTGTAATTTTATTATTTGATATTAATGCACATTGATTTAATTTAAATTTAATTTGTTTTATTGCTATTATTAAATATAATAAATTTAATTTTTTTTTATTGTTCTAAATTAAGAGATTTCTAAATATTAATGGTAGAATAAGATATTTCAATATAAATCAACTTGCCATTATTAAACTATTATTCACTCACAATTTTTATTATTTCAATATTAATTTTTATAATTTAAAATTATCTTATTAATTAACTATATGTATATTTTTGCTATTGACTTTAAATCACTCTCAATTCAATTCATATTAAAAGTATTAAATTTTTAAAATTTTCTTAATTTAACAAACTAAATAAATCAATAAATAATTAATAATTTAATAAATACAACAATTAATTCTCTAATTAATTATTCAATACATTTATATTTGATTAAATATAGTATTCATTTAAGTGATTAATGTATTTCATGTATAAATATAGAAAACAAATATATCAAATTAATTCTCCATAATTAAATTAATGGAATAAAATATTTTATTAATGTATATTTGATTGATAGTTTATATTTCATAAATATAATTTCATTTGATTTCATTTAGTAAAATATTAATAAACTTTTGATTTCATTTGATAAAATATTAATGCACATGAATTTCATTTGATTTCATTTGTAATATTTTATAATTTTAAAATTTAGATATTAATATATGTGGATTTAATTAAAATTTATTTTATTTTATTGCCATTATTAAATATAATAAATATAATTTGTTTTATTGTTCTAAATTAAGGGATCTGTAAATGTTAATGGTAGAATTAAATATTTCAATATCAAACAACTTATTTACTCATAATTTTTATTATTTCAATATTAACTTTCATAATTTAAAATTATCTTATTAATTAACTTACAACACATCTTTTGTATAAATAGCTTTAGGTTAAGCATAATGCATCTTTAGCCACTTTTCACTAATTTTATATTTTTTTATCACTACTCAACTCTACTTTAATTTTCTCTCTGATTTTTACTTTACATCATTTCTTGTTCTGTGCTGCTCAAAGGTTATTCTTTTTTTATACTTATACTTTATATTTCCTTCAACTATGATATTGGCTTTCTTTTTTTAATATTTTTTGTTGATGATTGATTTAAAGATGATTGGGTGTATACAAGGAAAGTCTTTCACTGCTAGAGTCACTATCATGAAAGTTGATGCCACTTTTGGTTGATACTATATGTCATGTGGGTGTAACAAGAAACTATATGAAGTTAATGAGAAATTTCAATGTTATTCATGTAATGTTAATGTCCTTAATTCAACTCAAAGATAATTAGTATTTATATTTTTTATATTTGTACATAAAAAATTATTATTCCATAATGATAATAAAAGTATTTTAAATCATTATATTATATTTGTAATTGTAGATTTTTGCATTTTTTATAGGTACAAGTTGAATATTGAGATATATGATAAATTTGGAAAGGTAAATTTCGTACTATTCAATGCAAAAGCAAATGATTTAATTAATAGAGATATTGACATTCTTTATGAAATATTTGTTAAGGTATTTAGTTAAAAATTATATTAATATTATTTAATATTCAAATTAATTGAATGATATATTTACACTTATGATTTAGGAAAATAGAGATTATAAAATCTAAGAGATATTTAAAGATCTTATAAGTAAAATTTCTTTATTCGAGACGAGGATAACCAAATATAATTTTAAGATAGGTAGTACTAAACTTACAATGAATAAAGTGTATGATTTTATAGTCAATAAACTTGAATGTCAAAAATTATTGAAATAGGTGTGTATAAACTTAATTCAATGATTATATTTGTTATAAAATTATATAGTCTAGATTATAATTCAACTGTTGTCAAATTATAGATTATTATTTTATCTATTTCTTCACTTTCATTTGTGAAATTTATCGGTTCATCAAGTAAAAGATAGAAAGAAATATTGGAGAATCAATTGCTACATCTTCGCTTCAACAACAATTTATGAAAAAAATTTCCATGAAAAAAATTTGTATGCAAGATTGATTTAAAGGATGAAATCGAAAACATTATTGTTTTTCTTTAGAAATTATTTGGATTCAATAAATTATATTTTGAGTTTTTGTTAGAATTGATGATAATTGCATAAGTAAATTCAATATGTAATAATTTATTTTATTATATTAAAATCTATAAATTTAAATAAAAATAATTATATAAATTATGAATTATTCATAAACTTCATAGTTTCATTTAAAAAAATTTATATTTATATAAGATTTATTGATATATGAATATATTTTCATGCATCACATGGGTTTAAAATTAATTTTATTATAAAAACTTGGCCCTTCCAGTGAAACCAATTCCATTTATTAATTTTCAACATGTAGAATGTAAAGCAGAAAAAAAAAAAAAAGGTAAAAAACTCATTTGAGATTAGCAAATATAGTGCTTCTAATTTAGTAATTTTTTTATTAAAAAAAGTTGAATTCGACTTTTTATTTTTTTAACATAAGATACATGAATTTAAGAGATAGATGAATTTATATTTAAATCACATTTATTTTTTTATATATTTAAATTTATCAAAATTTGAATCTTAATTACTAAAATTAAAAGGTTAACACTTTACTAACAGATGACGTGACTATCGGCTAAATCACATGTTCATACGTAATTTTGACTGCTAATCCTATTATGTAATTTGCAGCTTACCATCTTACTTCAATTTAATACAGCCATTATAAATTGAATCTAATCAGGCTGGTGGATTTGATAATTTTCAACTTGGTCATTGTTCAATGTTTTTGCAATTTGTCATTGGTTAACAGTGCATTTGGGAATATGATCAGAGGGTTTCCATCATGCGGACGTACATGTTTTTATCATTAGATCTCTAAAATTTCAAGGTTCAATGATAAAAACGCACATATCAGTGTGATGAAAGCTCTGTAATCGAGCTCCCAAACAAACTCCACATCTAAAAAGTAATTTGGATTCAACCACTTGATTTTAATTAAGCAAAGGATGGTGATTAAAGCTTTTAAAGGATGTTTTAAGAGGCAAAACATTCATAACTTCTTAGCTAGGGGAAACAAATAGTGTCTATTAACGTTCAAAATTAACCACATCTCTCAAAGATATTTCAATAATGGAAGACAAACTTTGAAGGATTGTGATATATCGTAGTAATTTATATCTCTCTTCTTTCAACAAGAAATAAGAAGGTATAGCATGTTCTTAGACAAGTCGAGCACGCAAACACTGTGCCCACTTTAAGTAACAAATTTAGTAGCATTTACATCATATTGATAAGCCATGTTGAATCTCCCTCGTGTTGAATCCACATTGACATACATACAAATATTCCTGCAAATAAATTAGATAATTAGGTACATATATGCAAATTGTTGAATTTGTTTTCTATTAGTATTGGTGTATATGATTTTGGATTACATAAAAAGAACTAGTGATCTCTTATTCATAAATAACCAACCAGTTCATGTTTCGAACCCGAAATTTTCAAAATTTTTTAAAATTTTTCAAAATGAAGTTTCGATTTCTAATCATCAGAGATGTAATAGAATTTTTATCTTTGTTTTGGTTACCGAGTGCGAAGTAGAGACGTACCTGCCAATGCATCCACCAATGACCATGTCCTTTTACTCGATGTTGAGCTTTCTGCACTTGGTAAAGAGTTTGCTTACTGAACCACTCTAACAAAGGTAATACAACTAGCAGAACAAAACAAACAATCTTTCTTTTTTGTGGCCGGGTCTAGGAGTGTAAATAAGTCCATCAACTTGATTTAAAACAATTCTGAGTTCGATTGCTAATTATTGAATCAAACTTGAGTTATTGAATAATAAGTCTAATTGGGTTTTACTAATTTAATGTTTAATTCGAGAAGTTCGTAAATTTAATTAAAATTTTATTTTTGAATATATAAATAAATAACAAAAATATAATGTTCAATGTGAATATTTATAATTTTATCAAAATTAATCAAATGATCGAATTGAGTTCGAATAACTCAATTAAATTATGAATCAATTTTGAATATAAAAAATAAAATTCGATTGAATTCAAATCGAATTTCAAGTCTTAAATTTTTAAATTGAATTAAATTCAAATCTAATAACATATTGGCTTGATTACACCCATAGCGTCAAAGTTCAAACCCAACTTGATTCTCTTGGAGGCGAAGGGGAAGTGTAACCTAAATTCAGTAGACTTTCAAGATGACATCTTTGAAAGGAAAATGAAATAAACTATTACGGCTTTAAAGGGGGTAAGACAGGGCAATTTTCTGACCTGAATCACAATTCTTGGTGGAATTGAAGCTCCCGCACATGCACAACTGCTTAACTCCATCAGTTCCAAACCCACATGCTCCACCCGTTGCCTCACAAGCTCTACAAAACTCTTCATTTCCTTGAACTGAATACTTCACTCGTATCCCATAGGACCACCCACCAGGCCCATCAACCCTCAATGGTGCTAGACTATAAGCACTGCTATACCCTTCACACTCAAGTTTGCTCAAATTTATAGCCTTGATAGCCTCAAATGCCACAGCACAACACTCCGGTGGGCCTGACCCGTAAACTGAGCCCACCTTTTTATGACCCAACAGGTTCCATGCCGGGCAATCATAGTAGTCCTCACATCCCATCCCGGATATATTCCTGCAAGGCAGGTGCTTTCCAGGGAAACCCTGGAAGAGTGGTGATTGTGCTGAGCAACCTATGAGCATGAACACGTTATCAGCCGTCGGATTGAAATACGGTGCCCGCCAATGCTCGATGGCGAAGCCGTTGCCTTTACCGCCTAGCACGATGTTGTCACAAGTAGACAAGTGGGGGTCATGTAATGTGAGTGCTTGATAAGCATAGTCTATATCTAGTACCCTGTATGACCCTGAACTTATGTGAAACATTAAAACATCGTTCATGCAGAACAAAAGGTCTCTGAAACCCGGATGACCGCAGCCATAATCAAGCGCAAATGGATAATCTATGGTAATATTTCCACAATACGATCGGCATGAGTTAGCTCGAATGGTGGCAAAACTTGGTGTAGCTAATAGTGCTAGAAAACTGAAAGAAAGAGTGATCAAGAAGAGCGAAGTCATGGCTACGAGTGAGAAAGGAAATTGTGTTGAATTGAATAAAAAATAGAGTATAGTGGGGGGAAGTAATGATACTTTGCTTGGAGAGTAGACTAAATGTTTGGCTTTTGCATGAATATATGATGGTTGGAGAACTTTATTCACATGTAGTAGTGTTGAAGAATTTAGTTATGTACATATTTATGGTTTTCCTTTCACTTTTAAGAGGAATAATTTGGGTTTTTTTAAATGATTCGGCTGGTTTTTTCATATTCTGCTAACTTTAGTTTGCTTTTAGAGTTGACAGACAAAAGCTGCATAAAATGGTTGTTGGTGGGTTTGCTTTATAATCAAGAAATATTTTATGCTTGTCTGAGACTAGCAGTGGAAGTGGGAAAAGCAGTAGCATGAATTGGATTGAGTTAATTGTTTCATGGGTCAACAGTATACTCTGATCGGGTAATGGTTGGATCACGGGTTACCCGTGATTGAGCAATATGCAAATACGCAACATCATATCAAATAACAAAGTAATAAATAAAATTTGTTTCCATGAAAATTATTATAGAAAGAATTAAGTACCAAAATTAAATACTTTTAACACAATAAAAAATTAAGCAAATTACTATCTTAAATATTCAAGAACAGAGAATTAAACTCAATTCAACATGAAAATTAAAGATTGCATTAATTAAATCCTAATCTTATGTGCATGAGAAAAAATCAACAATTAAAAAGCTTAGAAATTGAAATTAAACTTAAACTTTACTAAAGTAATGAAATTCAAATAGACATAATAATTCGTATTTTCTAGTCGTGTCTTATGTGATATTTGACATGTGTAATGACACGAATTATTAAAATATAAATATAACAAGAATTATAAAATATGTTTAAATATTAAACACGAATATGACATGTTTATTATATGTATTATATTCGATACAACATGATTAAAATGTGTACAATTAATTCATTTAAATACGACATAAATAAATACGAATAACATATATATACACAAATAGACATAATTAATATAAATATACATGAATAGATACAACTAACACAAAGATATACAAAAACACTGCTAAAATAATAAATAACTATAAATTATTCATAATTTATAATTTAATAAACTTGACATATTAATAATATAAAAATAGTACTTGTATATTTAAAAGAATAAAAAAATTTGATATCCATTTAATATGTATTTAATATATATATTTAAATTTTAATATATATTCTATAACTATATTAGTTTTTAATATCAAATTCAAAATGATGATCTATTGAAGATTAAAAAAAGCTTAAAAGAAAAAAAAGAACCAAACCGTATATTAGTCTTTTAAGCTTAAACTGAATTTAAAGAATCTAAGAACATGCATACCAAATCCTAATCTAATAACCCTAAAGAAAAGCGAAATTGCATTAAAAACTAGAATTTAAATTTTGAAATCTTAAATTGCATAAACTTTGAATAAATTACATGAACTGAACGTAAGATTCCAAATAAATTAAATAAGAACTGAAATTAAAGTGCACGAAAAATAAATTTTGCAAAACCGAATTTAAAGAAAATTTATAAAAAAACTTGAAAATTAAATTTGCAATTAATGAAATTAAAGAATAAAAACAAAAGTAAATAAATTGGGTTTCACCACCCCAATCCCTATATTAACAAAAGACAGCTTAAAAGAACATAAAGAACTTAAAAAGATAAAAAAACAAGAAAGTGAGAAACTAGTGGCTGGTCTCTCACCCCAACCAAGAACAAGAACTAGAATTGGATTATTTCTCCCTAAACTAGAGCCATGTATTTATAGGCAGAAAATCTAAGGGCTGAACGAGTCTCTTTAGAGAGGCAGAAATTTGTTTTCAAGTTAGAATATGAATCTTTGAGTTGTAGTTGACTTCTTTATTGGACTTCTATTTGAATGAAGAACCCCCTTTGATCTTGATTTCTTGAAGTAAATCACAAGGTAAATTTGGTTTTTTTTTTTAGTAAATCAGGTTCTTAAATTTTGAGATAAATATCATTTTGGTTCTCAAATTTTAAAAAATAACATATTGATCCTTATATTTTTATAGTCATAACGAAACAGTTTTTTTCTTAATAAAACCATTAATATAACCGTTAAAAAATAGTTGGCAACTCATTATTAAGTCAAATATAAAATTACAAAAATGGATAATAATAAATTTTTTTTTACTTGTTACAATTATAATAATAAATATTTACTAAGAAAAGTACTAATAATTTTGATAATTATATAAAAATAAATTACTTTTTTATTTTTAATTTTGTTAGTAAATTTTTTTTTAATTCAATTCTAAGATAGAAAAAATTTTATATCTTGAAAAATGAAAATTACCTTGTTTTTGAAATTTATTTGTTGTTTGTTTAAAACATACAATTAGGTTATATATCATCATAAAATATTTATTCAAAAGTCAAGTTTTTTTAGCTATAAAATATTAGTATAAAATTTTCAATGAAATATTATAAATTTCACACTACTACTTATTAATAAAAAATGACAAATTTAATTATTTAAATTACAATTAAAGATTTTTATGAACTGAGCTAAATTAGAGATTTTCATGAACTACGTTAAATTTGGACGACACTTTCAAACTCTTATTCGATGTCAAGTTTGACTTGTCTATTACACTAATATGTCCATTTTAATATTAAAAAATTAAAAAAATTTTATATTAATATTTTGATAGTTTTAAATTTATTTTAAAATAAAAATTAAATGAATATATTTTTTGATAAATAATAATTTAATCAAGTCAAATTTAAGTCTTAAAAATCATGTTCAAAACTCATTTCTAGTTGAGCTTAACTTGTGAATCTATTTGATAACTCATTTTATGAATAAGTCTAATTGCAACTTAACAAATATTTTTTTGAAAAAAATATTAATTGACTTAAAATTAGCATTACGAAAATAATAGTAAAGATACATAAGAATTAATATCCATAAAAATAAATTAAAAAATAAATTTTATCGAACTTTTATTTGTTTAATTATTAGTATTATTTTATCCCTTAACCTTAAACATGATCGTTTCGTTATGAACGTCAAAATAGACAGATTAATATATTATTTTTTAAAATTTAAAGGTCAAAGCAATATTCATTTCAAAATTTAGAGACTGTCAAAGTAATTTACCTTTTTTCAATCGCTTCTTTACGCGGCAAGATGGAGTCCTTATATATCTTGAATTAGCTTCTTGGAACTCCTTAAATTTGAATTCTTGGCAGCCCCTCTTGGTGTCTCGACTTAGGCAGTCTTTGGAGATAACAAAAATCCCATGCATCCTCTTCTAATCCCTTGGCAGTTCTAGCACAGGCAAAAGTTCAATTGGCAACCCCTAAATAGTCTACGCATTCCTAATTTTTTTTCCGTCCAATTTCATCAAAAATCACCAAGAATT